GACCTTTTTTTTTTTTTTTTTTTTTTAAAMAAAACAGCTCCATCTATTGGTGGGGAGCATCACCTGCTGGAAACCGGGTCCAGCGTCCCTTGATTGTACARCTTGAATACMGTATGTGAATAGGMATAAATAAGAAACAAGGTTCTAGAAWTGAATGAGATTGTCACTCACTTCCTGTCAACGAACCTAAAAGAACCACACTACCTCTTCATCCTGTCCAGGACGCCAGATATACCTGTTGAAGCTAACAGTACTGATTCTATAAACCATACCATGAACTGGGAACAAGGGTAGTAGCTGGGAAAGGAAAGAGGGCCGGGAAATCTGATATTGGACGCATTGGAACAGTTGCGTCAATGGAGGTCCAATTATCAAAAACCAGTTTGTAATCTCTTTTCATAACAGTGTCGTCCACATTCCCAGCTCCATTCCAAATGACACAACCAATTCTCCTGTCCTGGTTTCCGCCCAGCCAATTACGACTGAATTTACGAAAATGGTCTTGGATTTATGTTTTGTTTGAGAGGAATTGAACTTTTTCTTTTGTTCGTTCCCATTTGCTCATTATATCTGTCTGAATTTGTTGTTTAATATTGTCCGTAAATTCAGGACCATCTAGTCTAGCTCCTTCCCATTCATACGTGCATCTCCTCATCCATATGGCCCACAACACCGCTCTTCTCCCCATGCTAAAAAGATTTTCCACAAAGCCCCCGTCATTTCCTACTAATTCCGGATCTGGATTCCAGGTCTCAAGAAGAATAACTTTCTATCCCCATGGTCAAGGAACCTATGGGACTAATTGTGACCAGATTCGATCCCACCACCTCCAAAGCCATACTGAACTCGGACATTGCATAAAGATGTGCTCTATAGTTTCAGGGTATTTTCTGCTTGGGAAGGCTGATTTGCATAACTTACACCATCTTTCTGCTAGTCCTTTCTGTTCCAACGAGGATCTGTCAATCAGCCAGTCATTTACTGGTAGACACCTATGTTCAATCTGCGATTGGAGTGAAGCGATTTTGACCGGTTTCTCCTTAATTGCTTTAAACCACTTGACCGACCTCAAATCTTCTTGACTAACATTCAACTGTTCTCTCCATCTGGTGGAAACTTTGTCTTTTAAATTAATTATAGGGCGAAGCATTCGGTAGGCTGATTTGACTTTGAGTGAATGAATATTCCTTTTGAAGGATCTGTTGCTCCTCCCTATTCTTGTGACCGAGCTCCAACGGGAGATCTGATATAGGGAAATCTGGTTTAAAGGCCACCCACTGATCTTTAGTTCTGATTACCCTTATTCTGAAAATTTGTTGTATTTGAACCCAACATGTTTCTTCTTGTCTCTTAGGAACTATTGTATTAGTGGATGATAAATAATATTTTTGAAGCAGAAATCTCTCATTTTGGTCTAGGTCCAGAATTAAACCAATTGACTCCGATTGATCCCTGAAGGCAACCCAATCATTTGTCATCAATTTGAGACCTCTCCTAAGAATACGATACCATTCAAGCGGGATAAGTTCAATTACCCTTTCAAGTGCTTCCCCTGAATGATGACAATATCTTAGCCTTACCCTCAGTTTAGATGGGTCAATCCATTCATTGGGGAAAGACCACGACCTAATCTATGGATTCTCGAATTTTCAGATGTTCGTGGGAATTCCTCTGAGCAAAAAAAATCACCAAAGTTGCCTCTTGCAAAATGCCTGTTTTGTTGCGCCTTCCCAAGTCTTCCCAGCGTTGACCTCCCTGTTTTGAGAAGACAGGCCTCAACCCCTGGGCCTGAGGGCCCTTTTGCAGTTCACATGCAAGGGAAGACCGGTCCTCCAATTTGGTTACCGCGCCGGTTCTATAGCTGTAGGTAGTCTGTAGTCCGTAAAAATGCGGTGGACCGGTCCCCCAACAACAGGCACCCCATTAGAACCCACTTGTGCACTGGGCCCCTGCCGCTGAAAATGTGCCACCTTGACACGTGCACCATAGCCTATTGACTTACCGTGAGGGCACGGGTGCGCAGCCCGTATTTTGTATATGGTTGATTGATAAAGGAGGCGTTATTGGTGAGGTTTAGAAGTAGGGTGAGACACATCTGTTTCAAGTGTCGTTTCAACCTGTGCCCAAGCCTGCGCA